ATTCCTCTCGTAACCTCTCCCTCTGCATTCCCTGCACAAGACCAGGAAGGGAGAGCTTTTACATTGCCCTCTATTTCTTCCCTCGTAAAACCCCTCCTCTTCAACCACGAAAATATGCTCTCAAGCTTTAATCCATCAATCAACCTTCTATCTTTTTATTCATACAAAATTGATTCCTGCAGCATCGAATTGTAACTGATCAATTTATATCGGAAATTATGCAATATTCTCGTAACGAGCCGTTGATCACTTCGTCGGAGGACTACTCGATGACGTCGGCGTCGATTGAGACAGGGAGGGATAGCAGCAGCTCATCATCACTGGTGTACAGGGGCAGCCAGCTGCCCCCCTACGCATCTTCCTCCTCCTCCTACTCGGACCGTTGCGGCAACCCTCTAAGCGGGGAGAGCTCCCCATTCAACATGTCCCCGTGGCACCATTCCATTCCACTCGCCCTCATCAATGGCGGCTCCTGTGTTGATTCTAGCAGCTGGTCTATGAGTTCAATCCCTAGCGCCCCAACGCAAGCCATCGTGACCAGCCTTATCGGCTCCCCCGTCCCGGCGGGAGGGCACATCTCTTCTTGCAGGTCCTCTGCTCTACACCGGTTCAGATAGCAAAAACATTCGGGTGTGGAAGAACCAGAAGGATTACGCCGCCTTCAAGTCCAGCAGCGGTCTCGTTAAGGCCATCATTATTGCCAGCGGAGACTGCATCCTGACGGGGCATCAAGACGGAAAGATTCGGGTTTGGCGGATATCCTCCAAGGATCCCGCAGCCTACAAACGCGCAGGCAGCCTACCTCGTCTCAAAGACTTGATTAAGTGCTCCCTCAACCCATCCAACTACAAGGAGATTCGCCCCCGCCGGAGGGCTCTTTGGATTCGCCACTGCGATGCCGTGTCCTGCCTCAGCTTCTGCAAAGAGCAGGGCCTCCTCTACTCCGGTTCATGGGATCGAACCTTCAAGGTGTGGCAAATAGGCGATTCAAAGTGCATCGAGTCCGTGGTTGCACACGATGACGCCGTCAACTCTGTGGTGGCCGCCAGCTTCAACGGCTTCGTCTTCACCGGCTCGGCTGATGGCAGCGTCAAGCTGTGGCGGCGGGAGCTGCAAGGCAATAGATGCAGGCACAAGTCGGCTCAAATATTGCTGAAGCAGGACAACGCCATCACAGCTCTTGTTATCAGCCCCACGGCTCCGGTCGTGTACAGCTCCTCCTCAGATGGGCTGATGCTGCATCTGTTCAATCATGGCGGGGTGCTGAGCGGTCATAAACTGGCGGTATTGTGCCTTGCGGCAGCTGGCAAGCTGGTCCTGAGTGGATCGGCTGACAAAACCATCTTTGTGTGGAGGAGGGAGGGTGCGGGCGTGCACTCCTGCCTCTCTGTTCTCACCGGTCACTCGGGACCAGTGAAGTGTCTCGCAATTGGGGAGGAGGATAACAGGGATCGGGGTGATGGTGTTGCTCGCCTAGACCTAAACCTAGACCATTCATCATCCTCTCAACGATATTCATCCGATGCCTGTGCCGCCACATTCCTCCTCTACAGCGGCAGCCTGGACAAATCGGTTAAGGTGTGGCGAGTATCTGAAGTGCCACCCGAACCGCTGCTCTGGAGTACACACTCCTTCCCACCCGATCCAAACTAGCAAATTATGATCACGCCCGCTTGCACCTTCTCTGCTCCGAATTTCCATGCATTGCCATCTTCAGCACCCCCGCTATTTTTCCACTTTCCAGGCTCTAGCTATAAGATTTGTATGTTTTTCCCTTTTGATGCTGGATATATATATAAGTCCCTCTCGGTAATAAGAGACAATTATTTATTATTTATATTATAACAAATAATTAGTTGGTTAACATATATATATATATATATATATATATATACATTTATTATATACATATAAAATATTTAATTTATAATTATAGATAAAAATAAATTTAAAATTATATATAATGAAAAGTTTAAAATTAA